TATATATACAAACACACACACACACACATATTTGTATCTATATGCATGTCTCTCAAATATTTCCATGTGGCCCTTAAATTGATATCCAATATGGATTACCTACCATGACTATGGTATCAACAGCTTTTAATTCCGATTTAAGCCTTTCATGCCTGATTGCATGGGAGATGGACACCGACCCATGGGGGGGAGGATGCTGTTTACCCTGCAAAAGCTACTTCCGTTCTCAAATAAGCTGCAATCGAAAGTCAAAGAGGACACCCTCTTTCAGAGGGTTAGCCCAGCCACCAGCCCATCCTGTGGTGCAGCCTCATCAGCTGATCAGCCATGGTGTTTCCCTTCAATGCCCCATCCATATGTGACAGGGATTGCAACAAGAAGGCTGTGGTGTTGACAGCTGCTAGGAAGAAAGGGCAGAGAGAATGGTCAATGGACAGCATGAAGAGGTCAATAGGGAGGAGAGGGCTCCAACCACAGCAGAAGGATTGGTGCAGCTCTCTAGGGATAAACACATGCATAGCTCTTACCAACCAAAGGCCACCAGAGATGGTGCAAACGAACCCTACGTCTGGAGCTCCCTTGGACACAAACAACTTCAGTGAGCCTACAGAGGCCAGAGTATCTCCCATCAATTTCTTTCCAGATAAATTATTGCTTGTCCACCTCCTAAAACTATAGGGTAGGAAAAGACTTCTGTCACAAGAAAGCCTCTCTCAAAAATGGAGGACCTCTTCTAGTTTTGACCAAGGGTCCCATCTCAAACCCCAGAGATAAGGAAAATCTCCCCTTGCACAGCAAGGGGAGGCCAACGCTAGAGTCAAGCGCTACCATCTGCAAGACAACAAGCGCTCAGCTAATACAGAAGGAGCACCTTTACAATTTGGGATGGATGGGGCAGTTCCTTTCAACAGTCCATTTCTTCCTCAGATGTAGCAGCTTTCAACCAGGAGCTAGGAACATAATGGCCAGGCTGACTAAGGGCTAGTGAGAGCTGTAGTGAGACCAATTTGTGGGACACCAAGTCGGGGAAGGCACCTCTAAACATTTATCCCATCTCTGTGGAGCCACAGTTAACTCACCCCTAGCTTTCCAGGGTTCAGCTTCCAGCTGGCTCTGGAAGGAGAGGAGGCACACGAAGCATTCCGACATCCTCACGCCCACTCTGGCCACTTTTGTTTGTTTTCTGAGACTCAGACAGTGCGATCTAACCCTTTCCTCTGCTGTAAGAATTCAGGAAGCTCGCAGAGATCGCAGGGTATTCCAAAGGATATTTAAGAGAAAATAATATAGAGCAACTAATTCTTTTTCTTCCTCAACTTTTGTGAGGGAGTCAAAAGCAGCAAGGATAAGCACCAGACATTAACTTGCCCTCAAGAGGATTAGCTGAGGCCTGGAGAGAGATCTCCAACTTGTGAGCGAGGCCACTGGAGCAGCCTCCGATGAATTTAAGCCTCATACAGATACACAGCCATCAACTTTATTCATTCTCGCTGGGAGTTATACACGATCCGGCACTGACAGTAAATATTAGCACCCGCTAAACTACTGAATGGCACCGAAGAGCATTCCATGCCAAGAGGTGTGCATATGCTAATGGTGTGATAAAAGGTCTGTACTATCCATGCACCCAACTACCACTGGTGCTATATTCACAGTGCTAGGAATTCCACTCAGGATGAACTTACCACCAACACCTGCACCGATGTTATAGGCAAGCTACTGTTCCTGATTTGCTCTTAAAGAAGCTTAAGGATGCACCCACAGAAGAGAGCTCACCATCTACTGGTATTAGCTACATGGGAACATATATGGAGTTTTAAAACACCTCGAGAAAACACCACAGGAACTAGCATTTTGGGAAACAAGAAGTGAGGTTTTCAATTCAAACTCGACCACGCACAGGGGAGGTGTCTGATCCTACGGGGTACGCGAACATTTAAGACTCTCCCGCAACATGAAACAGAACTGGAACTTTACACGATGCGGGGGAGGCGCAACCTCTGAACCTTCCCACCATATAAATGTTACATGGTGGGAAGGTTCAGGCGCTGGGCCCCCCCCACCTTCAGAGGAATAGAAAGTCGGTTTCTCCTCTGATGTGTTTGCTTCAGCCAGGCAGAAGAGGGCAGCAATCTTACGCAAGGAAACTCATTCAACCTGCCGGCAGCTCTCGGGCCCATCTGAAGGGAGTCATCTGAGGCTCTTGTTCGCACACTGGAGGTTTCAGACCTCTTTAATCTAGAAACCTTACAAAACAGCACAAAAGAAAGTAAGTTTTAAAGGGCGACTTATGTGCCTTGCAACTTGGGCAAGTTCCAAGCCTTGGTTCTTTTCTCCTCACCCTTGCCTTCGGTGGCCCTCATTTGCAACCCCGCTTTAACCATCACCCATTCCTCAATCTTCTCCATAAATCCACCCCAAAGCCCCTGCTTTTCCTCTTCTCTGCTCTCTGTAAGAACAGTCTTCTGAAATCTGAGCAAACTCAGACATGTTGCCCTTCCACATGCACACCTCATCTTTTGCACACATACAAACAGCAGCCTACATCCCTTATCGCCAAGTTGACGAGCTCTGATTTTTCTTTTTTCTCGGAACCACGAGACCCATGTCCCAATTTAGCTTTTCTCAAAAAAATTCCAACTTTTAAACCTTTCTGTGTTCCTCTGCATAATTCGTATCTTCGAGTTTGGCAAGAGTTATCTTGAGGAGCCCATTTCCCTGTAGATATTTAGACCTAATACAATCCTTTCTGCTTTTTACTGTGCATTCACCTTTGACATCCCTTGATGTTAAAGAGCACCAAAACAAGGGGGTTGTGGCAGCAGAAGTATTACAGATAAGGCTGTGGGTTGAGTTCATATTTCTTTTTGCAGCTTCCTTGCAAAAAAGCATTTTGTTCTGGCATGTCTTTGATTTATAAACCTTTCATGTTGAACAAGTCATGCTGATTCAAAGACATCTTTTTGCAGCACTATCTTTTACCGTAACAGTTTCTCTTTTAGTGAATTATCTTTTTTCCACAACCTAGCCACCGGGTCCAACCCCACACTGCACGTTCTTTGCAAGTTTCCCATTTTCTTTTCCCTGCAACGCTGCAGAACCTGGATTACACAGACAAAAGTGTATTGTTTGGAAGCAACACGACCACATTAAAAAGGAAACCCAATTCACAGGCACATAATGGGGAAGCAGCTTAAGTGAGATTTTTGCATCGTAGACGCGGTTCCATTTTGCTGGGCCATGGGACCAAAGGGAACTCCAGCAGGGACAGAGCAACGTCAAGGACAAGTAACCAAGGTGGAAATTCACTGATGAAGGGTTTCCATATTTGGAGAGAAAACACCGTATGCTATTAAATTTGGATGTGCTAACTGTTCCAGAGTCTTGATCACCCATAACCTATAAAGATAGCTATGATGGGGCTGCTTTTTTTCCTGACTAGAGGAAGAGACCATTTTTTCCCATTTTTTCATCAGGCCTGATGATTCTACTGGGTTATCCATTTTTTATTTCCATTAAAAAAAACATTCCTCTGATATCTTCTGTGAAGGGTTTCCATATTTGGAGAGAAAACACCGTATGCTATTAAATTTGGATGTGCTAACTGTTCCAGAGTCTTGATCACCCACAACCTATAAAGATAGCTATGATGGGGCTGCTTCTTTTCCTGACTAGAGGAAGAGATTCCATTTTTTCATCAGGCCTGATGATTCTACTGGGTTATCCATTTTTTATTTCCATTAAAAAAAAACATTCCTCTGATATCTTCTGTCAATTGGGGAGCTAGTGGGACTTAAGAGACCATGAGGAGGAGCCGTGCAAGATCCCTCTTCAGACTTCTACGGCTAGGTATGGAATTTCAATTTCAGCCCCAAAAGGGCTTACTGAACAAGAGGTAAAGCAGCCAGTTAATTTCCCTTCCAAGAGTCTGCCACTACGTGGTTTTTGGAAAAGACGGACTTCTGACTCAAGAGAAAGGCAGGCTCCGCAAAATCCTCTGTTCTAACAAGGCAGTGAGTTCTCTCTCCCTGGACATTAGGATGCAGCAGAAAACGGCACAGAGCTGGAAGAGATTTCGGCTGATTTCACAATGGTGATGACGCTGGTGGTGGCGACTTTGGTTGGGGTGATGGGGCCCCGGGCAACTGTGCGTGCAAAGGTCTGCAGGGCTTCGTACTTGGAGCGCAAGGCGTCCAGCTCCAGTTTCATGCTGCTGTTTTCTCGAGCAAGCTTCTCCACCTCTTGCTGCAGTTCCACCCGCTGCCTCTCCAGTTCTTCCTTCTGGGTCACCCGCTTGATTCGGCAGCTGGCCGCGTAGCCCCGGTTCTTGAGTGTACGCCGCCGCTGCTTCAAGCGAATAACCTCCTCTTTCGTGAGACCTCGCAGGTGCTGGTTCAACTCCCGCACAGACATTGACACGAGTTCATCATCGCTCAGCACCGGGGCATTTTCTCCTGACTCCTCCTTGACCTGCAGACACCAACACCACAAAACTCGTGATTATATTACACTAGATCACAGCCATACCTTCATAACCTCCAGATCATATACCGGGAAGTACTGCACGTGGACTGTCCTTGAGGAATCTCCAAAACCTCCAAGGAGTTCAACATCCTGCTCACTGTCTTTTGATCAAGACCCGCCAGTAAGAATGAATTCAGCTACTGTCCAAGTTTAGAATGTGGGGTTAGAATCCAAAGGAAATAAAACCTAAACTAACGTTTTTATGTCCATGTTCATGAGATGTAGTAAGTAACCGGCTTTGACTCAAGAAACTATTTTGTGCCTGAAACCTCCCTCTGAGCCACTGTTCAGGGTATCATCCTCATTTACAAAACATATTGCTCAACATTACGGTAATTCAGGATGATTTTGAAGAAGTTAGTGTTATTATTCCACAACTGACTTGCTTTTGTAATTAGCACAAGTAGCCAACTCTCTGATGAGGACTGTATTTTAAAAATATTTTTATAACCTTAATGCTTCCAAAACATCAGAAAGTGACAATATGGGACCACTATGGGACCAAACCCTTTTCCGTTTTTTAAGACCAGTGAACTACGTGAGCATAGTCAGAGGGCAATTTTATACTGACTGGACCAGACTCCGAGAAATGGCAGAGTTTCACAGACAGTTTGGCATCACCCAACAGCATTTGGCCATACCCTCATTGAAAAGACAGGAAGCCCTGGAGCCATCCTTTTTTCCCTTCCTTTCCAAAAGGCATCTTAACCTCAGGACGTTATTCAGGAGGACTTCCTTCTTCCCCGAAATATGAAAAATAAACGGCTCCAATGATTATGCAAGGAAAGTTATGACCCAATCAGGATGCACAGAAAATCTGTTAGGGGAGTAGGGCTTTTGAAACAGTTTTCTGCAGAGGTATAGCATTTCCCAAAAACCACCACCCCAAATCCTTTTTTTCCCTAACTGGAATTTAAACTTGGGAGATGGAATTTATTCAACAGCTGTGCTCAATCTATGTTGAACCATGAAATTTATAGAACTTCAGCTGAGTATATTGTTCTTGTCTCCAAACCAAAGTTAAAAAAAAAAAAATCAAGATATTTCTAAGTAAAGAAAGATTCTGAGTTGCTCAGTTTTCATGGCCAAGTAAAGCTACTGTCCTCAGGCAAGACCGGATAGTACCACACGCCGTCTCATACCTTACTTTTGGGGCACAGACTGGCTTATGGAAAAGGGGTAGACAAGGCACTGGGGATGCAACGGCTGGCATCTTGAACAGTTCACTGCAGATGCCACTTGGATTTTTAAAAATCCAGCTGGGCCTTACCTTAAATGCTTTGTTTGGTTTTGGATTAGTCGTCATAACCTGGGCACAGTCTCCTGGACAGAATTGCTCAGAAATTGCAACTGGAGTGGGGAGGAAGAGAAAGAAAGAGACAACAGGTTAAGTCTCGTGCAGCTTAAAGAATGATGCATTTCCATTCAAGTACCAGCACCTATCACTGCAAGGCTATCTAACGCAATGTTTCTTAGATGCTGCTTTTTAAATCTCCCCTTCTCCCTCTGAACTATCTCATCAGCCACTCCATCCGCTGCTGCAGAGGTGCCCAATCTCTCAGGGTGCTGTACCGCCAAGGGAACTCTCTCATCCAAGCAGTAACCCATCCGTACTGTTACAAGACACACGAGCAAGAGACAATATCCTCAACCTCGTCCTGAGACTATGTTTTTTATGAGGAGAAAAGCATTTCTTCTCAGTCTCCCTTATCTCCAGTTCGGGCTGCCGTAGTGAGGTGGGTCTAGATTCTGCTGTATTCCAGCGGGCCTAACCCAGATGATGATGCTGAGCAGAATGCGGAGCAGAGTTCCCGGTTGTTTCTTCAGCAGAAGTACTTCTGACTGCTGTCACTGAAGCCTTTTTTCAGGCCTAGCGCATGAGAGAGGGCTCAGGATGACTTGTTCTAGACATGCCCCACATGCTGCCAACTCAAAAGCCATGGGGGGCTCTCAGGTTCCATTGCCAGCCTGAGCCTGCTTCACCCTCTTCGGCCTGAGGGAAATTTTTGTTGGCGATTCTACCCTCCCTGTATGCCCAGCTCCCACGTCTCTAATCCAGACAAACGAGAACCTGAGAAAAACCCAAGCAAGTTACTAGAACGTGCCAAGGGAGGGAGGAAGCTGTTCATACATGACACTGAATGCATAAAGAAACTATGGACTATGTTAGCTTGGACCTCTGGGCTAGTTAACCCAGCACTACCTCCTGAAAGGCAACAGTTTTCTCAAAGACTTTGGTCTCAGATCTGCTACAAAGAGTTGTTTTTTTTTTTAAGTAGAGATGCCAAAGGATGAAACTGAATTCTTACACCTACAAAGCAACTGTTCTACCATTAAGCTCTGGGTCTTCCCTAAATAAATCATCTTCTTAAGCCAGAACCCACAAGACACCCCAACAAGATTGCTTCAATCTATATTCAGTTTTTTAAAAATGACAGTAATGAAGTAAGAGAAAGAGGAACGATGGCAGCAGTAGAAATGTAATGTGATTTCTGCCAAGCTTTCCCATATTATTCTAAATTATTTGGAGAGACTCTTGTGATTTCCACACTGCAACACTATTGAACCCAAAGTCCTCAAATGACTTCAGGGCATAACAGTACATTTTACCAGTCATCCTAGTAAGGCTGTTTCCTCATACTGGGTTTGAAAACAGATGGCCATTTGAATCTTGATTCCCTGCCAGACCTGAGTTAAGAGATGGAATTTCTGGACCCCGAAGAATTCTGTTCATCCGGATTCGGTTTGCCCAGAATGTTCCACAAAGCCAAACTCCCTTTTCCAAATCTCTACAGATAAAGCTAGCTCCAAGTTTGCTTTCTGTGCTTTTCAAAAAGCATGCACAGGTTATCTTTAAAATCTGCCCCAAGTTTACCATCATCCCGTACCCCCATCATTAAAAAAGCCACAGAGCAATCATCTTTCCTATTCTTGGCTCCTCACCTCACCAAAGACAGAGAAGTCCCCTACATCTTCCAGCCCCACCTGTAAGCTGCTCACAAGTCCGAGCCACCAATTCTTTGAAAGACAGCACACGGATGGACGGCGGGCGAATCGACTGATGGAAGCGCAAGGATGGAGCAGTTGCACGAGAAGAGGCATGGAAAGGAAACAATGGAATGCTTTCTCACTTGGCTGGAATCCTCTCACTCCTCTGCTGAAGGAAGGAGCCCCTCTAGTCATCCAGCAATGTGAGATGTGACCCACCAGCAGTGCACCCTTCGCTCTCACCTCAGGTACACTAAACTACACTCCTCTCAAGGAGCACCCGAGACAGACTGTCTAGACTCCGGCACAGAGCCTTCACCTGCATCACACAGCACGGATGACACTGTTGGAGCAGCTTCAAAGAGCCGTGTACCTACCACTGAAGGAGAGGGCAATGCAGCTGTGACATCACAGTGGCTTCCTTCTCCCCGCCAGCTTGGGCCACACGAGCGAGGCTCGAACATTAAAAGCTGACGTGCCTGGGAAGCGCACGCTCGGGGAGGCTGCAGTGCCGGACATGTGAAACGTTAAGACCGCCGGGCCAGAGTGCCTTCCCTCCCGTGCCACCACCCGTCCGTCCAAGAAGAAAACAGGGCTTGCTCGGAGGGTGGCGGCAGTGGAAACGCTGGTCTCCATCCACATCTACATAGTGTCACACATCCTAATCATTAAAAAAAAAGACGACGACGACATCTAGCCAAGCATCCCAAGCATGATTTCCTTCCAATAGTTGCTATGGTGACCTTGGGAAAGTAGCCAACCCTGAGATGGTAACCATGGAAACAAGAGAAGCCCAAAAGCAAATCATGACTTGGGGTCATCTCTGTGCAAAGGCATAGGGGAGGACGGAGAGAGTCAACAAATCCATGCATTTCAGAACACATGGGGGAGAAACAGAAGGAAAAGAGTGGGGAAGAGAACAACTGGGAGGTGTTGGGGGGGGGTTGCTGGCTCAGCCTGGGTGGCTCCTTGCTTGACTTGTGGCAGTCAACACCATTCATCATCATATGATGAGAGCGCAAAACTGAAAGCGAGAGGGTCTGTTGCTACTGCCTGGGAGGCGGAGGGGGGAAAACAAAGCCCTCCAATAGGCACTGGACATCCCCTAGCCCAGCCTTTCCTCCTCAGCCCACCAGAGCTGCCACCACTGAAGAACACGCCTCTCCGATGTCCGTTCCCTTTTTTAAAGAAACAGAGAAGCAGTAATGCCAGACAGGAAAGGAAGAGGCATCTGAGAACTTGCAGAGTGCCTCCTTCTGCTTACTAAGCAAATGCAACCTGTCCCCACGCATTCCCAACAAAAATGAAAACATCTCAGGCAGCCTTCTAAGGTCGTGGCTCCTTTTCGTTTAACTTTCGAAGCTTTCGAAACTTACTGTACAGAAGTGATTCTGCACCAGCTCAAGCATTCTTAGATTCTTAGAAAGAACTGGGGGAGGCAGGGAGAGCTAGCTGGGAATGCAGCAGAAACCGGGTAAAGAGAGGAGAAAAGGAAAGTGGAGCAGGACTACAAAGGCATGTTTATTCACAGAAAACTGTCATTCTTCCTACAGCTCCCTTGAGTTACTCAGCACTTCCCAGAATACGAGCACCCTGAACTTCACACGTGGAGGAAAGGACTGAATGGCAAGAGGTCATCCAGAGCAAGTGCAGCCGGGAATCCATTTCCTCCAACGGAGCACGAGGGGGCAACGCAAAAGCCGCCAGGCAAAGGTGGCCGTGCCGTGTTGGCTTCCTTGCAGGGCGTTGAAGGTGCTGGGGCCAGCAGCACAGAAACTAGAGGTTCTGCAGAATCGGAGGAGCCAAAGTTACAAGGCAGCCACATAACGGGAAATAAGATAAAGAGAGGCGCAGCTATGGAGGAGGAGCCAGGGGCGAGAGAAGGATTACCTTGGACGTGCAGAGCTTTCCCCAGGCCCTTGTTCACTCCTTTACAGCTGTCCTCTCCTGCCCTCATGTTTGGACTTGGCTGCCAGATGCCCCGGAAGCCCGTTCAGGGTGGGGACCGCTCCTCAGAGGAAGGTGGCAGGCCACTGGGTGTCTCTCCAGGAATCCTTTCCGAGAGAAAGCCGAGTGGAAACTGTTCCTCCCTATCCTTGGGCATGCACACACACACAGCATGTCTTAGCATACGCATCCCTTCAGTGCCATAGCTATGCAATGAGTCACCAGCTGTTTACAGAGTGGGGGAAAGCTCACATTCCCACAGAACCAGAAACACTTCCTTCTCCTCCCCCTGGCCTGCCTTCCCGCCTTCTTTCTCCCCACCCCAACCCCTAAAAGGAGAAAGACACGCTGGAGGCTCCCTGGACTTGGTAGCGGTACCAGAAAAGGGAACTTCAAAAACACTTAAAAAAAATAATAAATTAAATAAAACAGGGGAGGGGGTGAGGCAAAATTCTGGCCCCAGCTCATCACCAGGCACAAAAAGCCTCTTGATCCTTGACCAGGGAATCTTCAAAGCACTGGCTCTCCCCACCTACCAACTAACCAATCGAAAAGCTGCGGAAGCGCGCTCTGTGTCCGGGAGAAAGGTGCATTGAATGCAGAGAGTTCCTCTTTCCTCCCACTTGTTCAAATCTGAGGACTTCTCACAGCTTCCTTCTGTCTTGGGTCCCACCTGTTGGAATGTTATCCTCTGGACTTTTAATACACCAACGTTTATAGTTGCCTTTTTGCTGTCGTTGCTGCTCTGTGGATTATTGCACTACAATTATATCTGTACGTCAAAATTTACCTGAACTTTGCCTTGAAATGCAAATATATAACGGTAGTATTAGCCACTTGCCACCTTCTATATTAAAGCCTGAAATAATGAAATTTGCTTCTGACTAATAAAAATGAACAAACTATTCGCTTTTCTTTACACAGAGCTAAACAAAAAGGATGTCCAGAAAAACAGCCATCTTGGTCTGTTGCAGCAATCTCATTTCAGTGACCCCCCCCCCAAAAAAATTGGAGCCACCTTAAAAATGTATCACGGCATACATTTTCATGAACAGCCCATTTCATCAAAGGCATGTAAGAGCATTTACTTCATGGTTTTCAAAAATTATTTTATCCATTTCTAATTTTGGGTGTTGCTAAACATTTCAGTGAACACCTTTTTTTTTTTTTAAAAAAAAGGACACATCTGCCAAAGTACAACAAAAGCAAGTGTGCAGCACAGAACTTCTATCATATAGTCCCTACGAACGCAATTTCCTACCTATTGCAAGAGCCTGCATGTAAGCTCAATATACACTTCCATCCTTCACCAATTCTACACCGCCTGCTGCGTACACATCTGACCGTGCATGTTTAAGGTCTAGCCAGACCCTTGCCCCACATCCCCGACCACAAAGCAAAAAATACAAGTAGTAAGAATTATACAACAATAAGCCTGTGGGAATCGCTGGCTGTGCCTCTGTATGCATAAATGGGAGCAGGGCAATTCAAACACCAGGTGAGCCCCAGGGGCTCGTCTTGGAGAAAGCAGCAGCCATCCTGCCTGTGATCAGGGCCAGCTAGGAAAAAAACCAAAACAGATGGAGTGTCAGGGGCCACCAGACTGAAAGGGACTTTTGCCAAGGCACAGTTCTCATGGGAATGCTGGATGATGATCAGAGAGTCTTCTGTGGTCTGGTAGGAAGCAACGCAGATGTTGCAGCCAGCTTTGGAGAGCAAAGAAAGGGAAGCAGCGGGGGGGGGCACGTCTGTGCTTCAGGCACAGAGATGACAGAAGGGTACTGCCATTAACCTGGTGGTGTTCACGAGATACCACTGCTGTCATTTATGCAACTGACTACCAAGGTTCGCGCATGATGTATTAACCACACAAGGTGGGTTGTCCCCACCACCAGCAGAGATGCCTTGAAGCTCTACCAGCTAATCAAACTGGGCACAACTGGGTCAACAAGTGCTGAGTGAGATTTTTCTTCATCTACCTTGGCTCCTTCAGAATTGGTCCTTGCACAGAAGAGTGACTGGCGTGACCAGTATGAACCTTTCATCTAAAGACTGGAGACAAGAAAGCCCACTCTTTCTCCAAGACATGGCATTATCTAACTCAGAGGCTTCTAAAAAGTGGGTGGGGCAATAGGTCAACAAACGGCACCACCCATTGAGAGGGAGATACTCCAGGGTAGAACAAGGGGGGGGGTCACTTTCTTTCCTGTTCTTCCTAGAAGACTCTTCTCATGGGGAAAGAGAACAAGACTCCACTTAGTATAATTATGGGTAGAGGGAAACATGGTGCAGGGGAATACTGTATCAAGTAAAGAGGATACTGGTCACCCTAATCCTATCCTTCCCCCTAGCCTGGATTATCACACAGGGCCAAAGATGCTATTGCCAAATGCTAATTCATGAATAAGATAGCTCTCATCCCAGACGTGAATGTGGATAAAAAGGCTAATCAGATTCATATAACCAAGACATCCCCTTGGGACTCAATGTAGCAACATAAGAGATCAGAGCAGGGTTAGGGTTAGGGTTAACCTAACCCACCTTGCATATCATTAATAATGCAGATTCTCACCAACTTAATCTATTATAACCTATGTCAGGGGAGGGGACCATTTCTTCCTCTCTGAAATCCTTGATAGGACTGAGGGTGCACAACTGTGAAAACATAAAGTATGAAAACGCGCCCTGGAATGGCTGCTGTATTTAAGACCCTTTTGAAGGTATTTTAAATTAGCTTTTCTCGATCTTTCACATACACACTTGAACCAACTCTCCCCCCCAGCTGGGGCCAATGGAAACTGTAGTCCCAAATTACAGAATGCATTGAGCTGAGAAAGGCTGAGCAAGAACTGTTTTACAAACCCCGGTTCAGCCCGCCCCCAAGTAACCTTCCCAATGCATCTGTTCCAAAGGCTTCCATCTATGGTAAAGACAAGTGTTTTATTTTTTTTTTTGCAAGCAGCATTCCACTTTTCTGTTCAGTCTCTCTCGAAGTACAGAACAGGGTTAATTATCCACTGCACAGAGCCCTGCTGATACCGCCAGCTGCCACTGGATAACATCCGGTCCGCCGCGTTTAGGAAGTGACTGCAAGGAGGAAGATTTCTCTGCGTTGGAGCTCAGAGACGCAAAGGAGGAAAACACAGCGAGCTGCGGTTTTCATTGGTGCCGAGGCAGAAAGGTAAATGAATTCAATATTACACCCCAGAGGCCGGCTGGGGAAGTCGTTTGAACAGGACTGCAGAGGACCTTAAAATTCTTTTTAAAAAAAAGGAAGAAAGAAAGGGAAGCTATTCATAACTTCCTACCCTGAGAGGTTGTGGAATACTCAATTGTTCTGTTTTCCTCCCTCCCTCCAAGCCCCCACTGATAATGATAAGGCAGCAAAAAATCCAGTAGTCCTCTCTGGTATCTACTACCTGTGCTTGCCATACAGAAGTTTGCTTGGTTGGCTAATTTCATATTCACAAAGGCCTTGTTTCTACTGGTCTCCTTCAACATACAGGTAATCCTTGACTTACAACCACAAAAGGGACTGGAAAATTCATAATTAAGCAGTGCAGTTGTTAAGCGAGGCATCACGTGACCACACCTGATTTTACGACATTTTTTGCAGTAGTCGTTAAGCAAATCACTGGGGACGCTAAGTGAATTATGCAGTTCCCCATTGATTTTGCTTGTTGGAAGCCCCCTGGGAAGGTTGCAAATGGCGATCATGTGACCCCGGGATGCTGTAATTGTAAATACATGCCGGATGCCAAGCTTCTGAATTTGGATCATGTGACCGCAAGGATGCTCCAATGGTTGTAAGTGGGTTGACCAGTCCTAAGTAGCTTTTTTCAACACCGTTGTAACTTCAAATGGTCACTAAACAAACAGACTAAATTGAGGACTACCTGTACTTCTTAGCTCTGAAAGAGAAAGGGGGAGGGAGGAGGAACAGGAAGGGAGGGACAGAGCGCTTGAAATCAGAATTGAAATGATTTCATGTTTGGAAGCAATTCATTCCACAAGTTGGGGAATTCCTCTATCTCATGGTGCCTAATCATTCAGCATTTATGGTATTATTTTTCTGCACCATGCGGTTTAGCATTTTTTAAAACTTATGCTGCAGACACATGATCTCAATCCCTTATGGAGAGTAACTTCCCCAGCAATTTGATTAGCCTGCTGGGGCCTTCAATGAGAAAAATAATGTGCCCCACAACCATGTTCTGGGGATTAACAAAAGAGTGTGGACACTTTTAAGCTCTGCTTGTGAGTTTCTAAGGAGCTCCTGAGTGAAAGCTGAAAGGCTTAACTAAATGGCCCACTTCCATTCAGTTCTGCTTTATAACACTTCTCTCATCATCAGCAAAGATGGGATTAGGGTGATGGAAGATGTAGTCCAACATCTAGAGGGTGTCAGACTGGGGAAGGCTGGCTCATTGATTTGCTCAAGTCTTGTCATCATTCCTCTAATGTTGTTTCTACTTATAGTGTGTGATTTATTATAGTCTTTTGCACCAGTTTGTGGCATTCAACTAATTGTTAAAAACAGCAGCACTTTCTTAAGCAACTCCTTTTCTCTTCTGGCACTCTCTGAGGTTTGAAAATTGCTGCTGAAAAGGAAACTGGCACTGATTTACCAAAGTACCCAGAATCTTACCATCTATAACAACTTTTTCCTCTTCTGTTCAAAGGTCTGTGTATAACATACAGTGAAAAATATTTCCAAACAAGTACCCTTTGTTTAAAAGGATACTGACTTCTAAAATCTGGTCTTGTGCACACTGCCTCTTGCACAGAAACTCTGTCTTAAAAAGAAGGGAATGGTGTATTACTAGTTACCTTTTTTACAAGAGAGATGTCAGGACCATTCTATGTGCAATGCTTCCAAAGAAGTAAAAATGTGGATCACTAAGGCATCACTTGAGAGAGAGGGATCCTCAACAATCCACCCCACACCCTGATTTAACATATTTTGTGATGGAAACATTCCACTTTTCTGATTTGAGATCTGTGATTCCCAGTACCAGGTGACAAACGGCTCAACACTTTGAAGCTCAGGAGACTTCTAAAACCCTTTACTGTGGCCTGGAGGTCTAGTGTTCCAAAAAATAAAGAGAGAGACTGTGGGGCATTTCTCAAAAGGTAAATGTAAACCAATTATCTAGCTTTCACTTTATTTACATTCAACCTGGCTAGTGTTATAGACCCCTGTTCAGCCATTAGACCAGTGTTTCTCAACCTCGGCAACTTTAAGATGTGTGGACTTGAAGTCCACACATCTTAAAGTTGCCGAGGTTGAGAAACACTGCACTAGACCATAATCTGAATTGAGAAGACTGGGTGGAAAACCAGCTCCTGGTGCAGAGCAATGTTTTCCTACATGAGCTCTTCAACTCTGTCCTTTCAACTAAGAAAATCAATAGACAGTTCTCTCCCCTGCCCCCACTTAATCTGCTTATTTCCATTCCTTTATATCTTGGACTGAGCACTGAATGTAAGCACTTCAAAAGAGAACTGGAGTCTTTGGCTGGAGTGTAAGGAAGTTATCAGAAGTCCCTTGGCTGGAGCAAAAACACCAAAGAAGCAGGCAAGGATCTCTGCTCAAAGTAGACACTGACAGGTCTCGTATGGGGTTCCTGGGCCGCTACAATGTCCACTTTTAGTTTAGTATAACCGGTGAGCCAATGATGCAAGAGGACTGGAGGTGCCTTCTTGCACTGTTCACCATATGATCGTGAAATGCAAGGCCTTAGGAGAACTTCGCTAGTCTCATGGGTCACCATGTGGAAAGAGAGGATTAAGCAACCATTCCTCATTTAGCATTCAACCCTGAGCTGTCCTGTGAAAGTATCACCAGTTACTAATAATAAGAGTAGGCTGCAGAGATGAAATGATCTGGGGAACAGGAAACCCCCTTTTATTTTGCAACAGACCATCCAACTGCAGTATCCAGCTCAAGCAACCGCCCCCCACAGATACCTGCTGCACGTCTTCTCTAAACGATGGGTGCCTGCTTATGCATGCCAGTAGGAAGCATGAGTTGGACTGCACTGAATAATCTTCTGAAGCAGTTAGATGGGATTCACGGAAGCGTGTATGCATGCTCCAACTGAAGGGATTAAAAACAGAATGACTCAGAAGCATCTCCTACCTAGAGTATGCTCTGCTGATTCATTCAACATGTGTAAATTCCCTTGTGAGTACAATCCCTCAAACTTTCCTAACCATTAGCAGCATCCTCAGTTCCAAATCACTCTAATCACGCCATCCGATTACACATTAGAAAACACATCAACTGACTATTTAAAAAACTTCTAGAATAGACATGTGTTACCTCAGCATGCAACTGGTCACAGCCTTGGCAATGTTGCAATGATTACAGCCTGGTTCAATCCATGCCCCCTCCAGATCGGTGGACCAACTCCCAGAACTCTCAGGAACGGGTGGTGATCGGGGAATTCTGGAATCTGGTCCACACACGTGGAAGTCTCCCACATGGTGGAAGGCTGAATGAGATAAACCCCATTAAATACAACCCCAGCCACACAGACCCCTTTTCTGTGGGAAGACAGTAAGGTTATTCCCCCAGATCGTTGAAAGTGGAAATAAGATTCATATAACAGCAACTTCCTTAAGGCGGTTCATTGGGTTTTTGCAAGACTGAGGTGAGCTTTGAAGCCAGGGGCTTCCCAGGTTTTAACTGAATTTGTCCTGAGTAGGGGGAAATTCCAGTAGCAGCAGATAGAAAGAAGCATGTCTGCCTGTAAATTAAGATTCCTGCTCTGCAGTTTTAAGTGCAGGCCTAGGCTTGCTTTGGAAAATGGTACCTTCAGTCTAGATAACTATGTTGTGATAGTAGTAACAGTTAAGTACTTGTTTAGGGATGCATTTCCTGCATATAAACTGCCCTGAGACAAAGCAGAATTGTACATAATGGTAAATAAACCCAGACTGGCCCAACGGTGGAGGCAGGAAAACCCAGATCCCACTTCCCATTCAGCCATGCCATGACTGCAGGCGAGTCCTTCTCTCAGCCCACAACTACCTCTCAAACTGGCTACACGCCCGCCGGGCCTTGATTTTGGCTTGGGGGGCCATGCAAGCCGGCCCACTGGGGGTTATGAAGCATTTTCATCCCACCCGTCGGTGGCTTCCTCAAGCAAGGTTGAAGGGATCCGTGGCTCAGAGCAAGAGGTGAATTTCACCTTCCCTAATAGCACCTGTTGTCTAAAGCAGGGTTCCTCAACCTGGCTGGCTGGGCAATTCTGGGAGTTGAAGTCCACCCATCTTAAAGTTGCTGAGGTTGAAGAACCCTGGTCTAAAGAACCAGGTTGCAGCAGTCAAGGGTTTGTTTAGGGATGCATTTCCTGCATATACGTGGCCCGAGACAAAGCAGCATCGTCTGCAGTCGTAGAGAAGCACAAAACACCCTCCAGACGTGCTTGGCGGGGAAGTCATGGATCCAAGGGAGATGCCAGGGGATGGGGAAACTGTGTCCAATGCTTGGTAAGGCCCCGGGCTGGGCTGGCACCTTGCGAAGGGGGCTCTCCTTCGGCACACAGGTCACCCCTCTGAAAGGCCACGATAGGGAAGAGCGCTTTCCTCGCCCTGCTTGCCAAAAGAAACTTGGTTCCCACGGGGCCCTGACACGCAGGAGCCGCACTCACACACCACCCTTCCACCAGGTCACGGAAAAGCCTGACACGCAAGGGCTGCACTCCCTTCCAGGTCACGGAAAAGCTGCTCCGCACGGGGTCCTGACACGCAAGAGCCGTACTCACACAACGCCCCTCCACCAGGGAAAGCCCGTGCACGGCATGCCAAGCGCGGTTAGGCCCGGGGTTTCGTCTCCCGAAGTTCCGCGGGGGGCGCCCGCACCGCTCGCTCGCTCCGTCGACCTGCCGGGTCCCCGCGACGCGCCCGGCCGCCCACTAAGGACCCAGCTGGCCGGGCGGAG